CCCCAAAACCCCAAAACCCCAAAACCCCAAAACCCCAAATATTTGAAAATTTATTGAAAACTGTGGTTACCTTTATAGTCAATTTATCAAAATGCAGAAACAGTTTCTACTATGTGTATTCATTGGGATCGCTGCTTGTGAATTACTTGCAGTCGTTGAAGTGACAAGACATGGAGCTAGGACCCCGATGGAGGTGAAATTAGAACACTATTTTGGAGTTTCCTCAGGTCTTGATAATGCTCACCTTACTCCAACAGGAGAAAGGCAACATTACTTATTAGGAGCAAAGAGAAGGAAACAGTATGTTGTCACAGAGACAGCAGAAGAAGGTAAGTCCTCAAAGATCGATCAATATGAACTGAATAATGTTTCTCTAGGAAACTACCCTCTGCTCTCTCCCAAGTATGATATGAGCGAGATGTACATTGAAACAACCGATAGAAATAGAACTTTTATGAGTGCTTATTCACACATGATAGGAATGTATCCACCTTTGGATCCTGATGAAGAATGTAAGATCTTTCCTCAACAATTTAGCTGATACCTATAAAGTATTTTCAGAAGACCATCTCCCTTACGATATCAAGACAAGTGTTTATCATAGCCTTGCAAGAGTGTATGATGAGCATAACTGTCCATATGCTGCAGATATTTTGCAAGAAAATTTGATAGATGCTGAAGTAGACTATGCTAACAATACTCTTTTCCAAGATATGCTTACTGAAGCAAACCTTAATCTCAACCTTCCTCGCCCTTTCTCAGGTTTCAATGACTTGTGGACAATCGTAGATACTTATGAGGCTCTTTCCTTCTCAAAAATTGGGAATTACACAGAAATGTCAGATGGGTTCATTGCTGGTGTTGAGGATGTATCTTACACTGGCTTGTTTCCTATGTGGAACAAACGTCTGGAAGGGGTACAGCTTTCAACTCATCCCTATTTGACCTTCCTGGATCGCTTGCTTTCAAGCCTAGTTGGGTCGGATACCCCAACTCCTTCAAACAAAGATATTCAGCATATCCCTCTTGATAGGAAGTATTACTTCTTTTCAGGACATGATACCACATTATCGACTTATTTATGTGCTCTGAACCACTCAAATGTTACTAGGCCAGTTTATGCTTCAAGGTAGGAGTCCCACATGATGATCTTTATAGCCTTCTACTAGAACTTCATGAAGATTCAGACTTGTTTTACATCAGATACTTGTATAACGGAGAACCTTTGATCCTCGGTTCCTTCTGTAACTCAGAAGGTAATTGTGAGCTTCAAGGATTCCTTGAGTTTATTAGAACCAAGATGTTCACAGATGGAGACTATGATACTATTTGTTCTGAGAGACATCAAGAGGATGGATACCTAGGAGGTGGAAATTATTACCCATTCATCTTCATAGGCATCGCTTTGGCAATGCTGATAAGCTTCTGTATAGGCTTTTACCTCTATAAGTCCAGGAATAAAAGAGAAGGTACGTTTCTTGATTGATTATCTATGAACCAATAGAAGTTGAACTAGGCCTAATAAAGAGTTAATGGAGTGGATAACTTATGGTCAATTTTGAGTGTCCAAGAAGGGGTTTTGGGGTTTTGGGGTTTTGGGG